AGCAGGCAGTGGGGAGGCCGGCAGTAACTGTAGGTGTGAAGGGTCAGGCAGTGGACACTCTAAGGGAGGAGGAACACTAGTAGAAGGCGGGAGACCAAGAACCTGCTGAAGGAGCGGAACGAAGTACGGCCGAGGCCGCGCGGCGACTCCAGACACAGCAGGGACAGCACCAGCACCCCCAGCGGCAGCACCAGCGCCAACAGCACCTCCAGCTGCAGTACCTCCAGCACCACCAGCAGCACCCGCAGCAGGACCGCCGCTAGGACTGACAGCAGTAGCCTCAGCACCAACACCCTCAGTAGCTCCAGCTCCAGCACTCCCAGTACGAGCACCTCTGGGACCGGCGGCACCAGCACCCTCAGCAGCCGAAGAAGCTCCAGCTCCAGCAGAATGCCTCCAGCGCCGGGCAAACCACTCGCGCAGCTCCTGTGAAGAGAGTGGCTCCCGCCGAGACGAAGCACCCGGAGGACCTCTAGGCCCAGCACCGCTTGACGCCACACGAGCAGGCCCAGCGGCCGCCGGCTCCGCACCCCCAGGCCCAGCAGCTCCAGACGTGGCACCCCCAGGCTCAGCACCCCCAGGCTCAGCACCCCCAGGCGTAGCACCCCCAGGCTCAGCACCACCAGTCTCACCACACCCAGGCTCAGCACCCCCAGTAGTACCACCCGAAGGCCCAGCACCCCCAGGCGTAGCACCCACACGCTCAGCACCCCCAGAGTCAGCACCCCCAGGCTTAGCACCCGCAGCAGCACCAGAGTCACGAGTAACCTCGACAGGCTCGACTGCGTCTACCTGGGACACACCTGAAGGGGCAGGACCCTGAGGGGGGAGGGGGTCTATCGGGGGGGGACCTGGCTAGGCGGTAGTAGGGGACCGACTCGTCAAACGTGACGTCCTGGGAGGACAGAACACGACGAGAGGTGGGGTGGTAGAACTGCCACCTTGGCGCGTTAGGGGGGAAGCCAAGGAAGACGCAAGGAGCAGCACGAGGGGACAGCTTGTCCGCAGATAAGTCGCGGACAAACGCCCGAGATCCCTAGACACGGAACGCAGACGCATCGCCTACCTTCCCCGTCCACAGCAAAGCTGGAGAGGTCTCCGGCATGGAGACCCTGGGGTGAAGGTTGATCTGATGCGCCGCGTACCGAACCGCAAACGGCCACAGAAAATGGGGGGCAGCCGCATGCATCATAGACGTACGGGCGACGTCCATGACCATGCCAATGCGGCGCTCAGCAATCCCATTTTGCTGTGGAGAGTCCGGAAGTGTAAAGGTCTGGCAGATGCCTCGCGCACGACAGTAGGCTCGCAGAAGGCCAGAGGAGAACTCTCCGCCTCGGTTTGAGTGTAGACGCAGAACAGGAAAGTCCGAGCCGAAGCTCCTCCTGAGCTGGAGACGAGCTGCGCGGATCCAGTCGATCAACACCTCAGTGACATCACCCTTGCTGCGCAAGGGGAAGACTGTGGTGTAACGCGAGTAGTCGTCAACCACCAGCAGGAAGTAGCGCTCGTGACCCTGTCCACGGACGCGGGCTGGGCCCCACACGTCCATGTGAAGCGTCTGCAGCGGGGCCTCTGTCGGGGGAAACTAAGAGGAGTGAGGGGCAGCCCGCAGCCGCCCCTCAACACAGGGGACGCAGGTAGGGCCAGGCCCCGGAGGAAGAGGAGGGAGGGACTGGGGAAGACCAGAGACAAGGACACGGGAGGCCATGCCTCGGAGACGAGGCAGGGAGGGGTGACCAAGGCGGTGGTGCCACAGGAGAGTCTCGTGAGACGGGAGGCGACACGAGCAGGGGGCAGACTCAGGACCAGACCTGGACGCTGCAGCAAACACCTGACCCGACGCAGCTACCTGACCAGACGCAGGGACAGGAGGAGACTCAGTGGTCAGGGTGTACAGGCTCGACCCCGGCCGACGCGTAAACGTGGCCAGGTGCCGGCCTGTGCGAGCGTCCGAGCAGTGTGTCACCCGCTGACTCGCAGGAGTAAACTGGTGAACCCTCGCATCCTGTAGGTCAGCACCACTCACCAGGTTCGTAGAGAACGAGGGGAGGTAAAGACCAGACAAGGTGCCAGAGGGGGTCGCCGGACACGGGAGGACAGTGGAGAAGTGAGAAAGGACAGGACCCCAAGAGGGGTCTGCCAAGGAGACTGCAACCGGCCGACCAAGCGGCGTGAGTGTGGTGCGGTCTCGAAAGAAGGAGCGAGAAGCCCCTGAGTCAAGTGTGAAGGTGAGGGAGGCCGAAGCCGACGCGGTACCTGAGAGCGCAGACTCACCTGCACCTGAGGACGCAGACGCACTGGCACCTAGAGCAGCAGCCTCACTGGCACCTAGAGCAGCAGCCTCACCAGTACCTAGAGCAGCAGTCTCAATGCCCGGGTCGGGCGGGAAACACCGGTAACAGTCACCCTCATCACTAATAGTCACAGCATACATGGCAGCAAGAATAGCATCAAAGTCAAGATCAAAGATAGCTACACCCGCCCTAGACAGCTCACCCCAGCGGGGGATCTCAGTGGTCTCCGGGAACTGGTGACTCCAAGCGTCCGTCAGGCGGCCAAAGCAGCGCTGGGTGGGGTGTGCACCCCCACACTGCTCACCCGCGCGGTCGCTGGTGCGTAGGACGTAGGTGCACGGACCGGTACCCCCACCACGCTGACGTGCAGCGTACCACTCACGGAGCTGTTGAGGGGGGGGGATGTCCCGAGAACGCTGCTGCTGCTGCTGCTGCTGGCACTGACCACCACCGGAGCCGCCCCGCTGCGTAGGCCGGGACCGCAGGTAGTGCGCCGGGGCCGCAGATAGGGTGGCGGGGCCGTTGGTAGGGCGGCGGGGCCGCAGGTGGGGCGGCGGGGCCGGGTCGAAGGTAGGGCGACGGGGCCGGTACGCAGGTAGGGCGACGGGGCCGGGGCCGGGGCGCAGGTAGGGCGACGGGGCCGGGGTCGGAGGTGGGGCGACGGGGCCGGGGTCGCAAGCAGGGCGACGGGGCCGGGGCCGGGGCGCAGGTAGGGCGACGGGGCTAGGGCCGGGGCCGCAGGTATGGCGACGGGGCCAGGGTCGTAGGTGGGTCGACGGGGCCGGGGTCGCAGGTAGGGCGACGGGGCCGGGGCGCAGGTAGGGCGACGGGGCCGGGGCGCAGGTAGGGCGACGGGGCCGGGGCGCAGGTAGGGCGACGGGGCCGAGGCGCAGGTAGGGCGACGGGGCCGGGGCCGTAGGTAGGGCGACGGGGTCGCTAGGGCGACGAATCAGGGGCCGCTAAGGCGGCGCGACTTGGCCGCTAGGGCGGCTCGACGAAGTCAGAGAGGGGAGCGCGACTCGGGCTGAGCGCGCTCCGGGCAGGAAAAAAAAACTTTCGACTTGGTGGGCCCTAGGCACAGTTCCCACGAGGGAACCTGCTCGATACCATGAGAAAACTGAAACGAGAAAGAATGCACTAAGGAATGGAATGTGGTACAAATATGCAACCCTAGAAATGTGTACCCCATAGAGGGGACCCCACTACAGCCTACAGAACATTATGATTTGACACGTCGACGCTGATCACGCTGGCGACTCAGACAATAGGCGCTCCCGCACCGGCTACATCTACCGCCTCGAACCTATCGGACCTATCTCCTGGCAATCGAGCAAGCATGAACTAATTGCTCTCTCGTCAGCCGAAACAGAATATATTGCACTCTGCTCAGCCACCAAGGAAGGACTCTATCTTGGCGAGCTGCTGGAAGAAGCGAAGTTAGCCGAGTTACCCAACTTTACCCTGTTCTGCGACAACCAGTCGGCAATTCGCATCGCCAACAAGAACGTCTTCGCGAACAGGACGAAACATATCGCCCTGCGATATTTCTTCGTGAAGGACGAGATCGAGAAGTGAAGGCTCGAGCTGTCATACTGCCCCACGTCCGAGATGGCAGCTGACTACCTGACCAAGAAGCTCGGAAAGCAGAAGTTCGAATACTGCATGCTGCTGACTGGACAGAGCCACGTCAGCGACACTCATTAAGCGAAGGGGAGTGTTGGAAACAATCGATCCTAAGCGCCTCTGTCGTGTCGAAACACTAAGGCACAAGTGAAGCAAAGCATATCGAGGCACCAGCGAGTCAACCCTCGGAGGTTGAAGAAACTGCTGTAGGTTACGCGAAAGTCAAAGGTCAGCGACCTTTGACCTGACAAATACAGCGCGACAGCAAGGACACACAACTGACTCGTTACAGAGCAGTTGCCCGAGTCGTCACTATATCGAACCGCAACAGCAACAAGTAAAACAGTTATAACCGTATCCTTTCATATTCCTTGTACTCTTATATAATCTTGTATCTCTTTGTTTTAATCAACTTACTTTGCCCTCACATACTATCGCAAGGTGGTTCACAACTCTTTATTAACGCTTCCGCTACTACATCAACTCTACCCAGAGTTCACCCCTGCAAAGATCCCAAGGGCCTTTTCAGCCCAACAAATTTTAGCTATAAAATATCTTCATCCAAAATTTGAAACTGGAATAGAGGTGTTATAGCCGGGGTGCAAGTTGCAACGTTCTTTGGAGAGGTGACAAGCTAAAAGAAGCGATAGAATGGAGAGAAATAAGCGGGGATCAGGGTTTCGGGTTTAGGCAATATGGCAAAGCAAGGGCAAAGACCATCAAAATTACTACACTAACTTTTGCTACAGGCAGTTACATTAGAGACTGCACTTAGACAGTGGAGATCGGATTGCGAAGGGTTTATGGCAAAATAATGTTGGGACTGGTCTCAGTTAGTAGTTGACAACTCATACGCCACACACCCTGCTAAAAGGGTATCAAACAGCTGACAAGGGAGCACCTAGCAAACAGTCTGAAAACAAATCAAGGAACACAAAACTATGTTACAGCAGAAGAAGGGGTTCGGCAGAGCTGGAGTCCCAGTGCCCACATCCATGCAAACGACCCGCATTTTGGAGTTACGATGAGTCGTTTTCCTATGCAGGGGGCTATGGTGTCAGACGAGGAATCAATCCAGTGTTACTTCTTGCATTGCGGCATGCTCTGGAGGTAAGCTTGGGACAGCATGGCCTTTTGCACCTGCACAGCGTAAAAACACTTCGTCAATGCAAGCTCAGACACTCACAACGACCATAACACCAGAGCACGCATGTAATCTTCACACACTAGGTTTCAATCTTCAGAAGCACAGCCTCCTCCTCACCTCCAGCTGTTCAATAAACGCCACAGCAGCGTGAAGCAGCGACGCCATATCGGTCCGAGCAGCCAGGTTGGTGGAGCACTGTTGACGCAGCCATGACGCTGGAATGGCCTTCTCTAGCTGCTTGAACCCCGCACTGCACAGAAAGAAACCACCGAGACACACAGATGCGGACACATGAGCTTAGCTGCATGAATCGTAGATGCAGTGAACCACTCATCGAAAAGGGGAAAAAAAAAATACAAAAACAAAAACAAAAACAAAACAAACAAAAATACAAAAGAGGGGGCTGGAAACGACTGAAAGAGACGGAGCATAGTACAGGCATAAATCTGGATATTCCCAGGGGAGTGTAGCGTACCTGACCCGGTGTCGTCTACGCTTCTCCGTAACGCTGCGGCGGTGTATGGGCCGTCGTTCCACGCCCAGTTCCCTTTTCTGGGCGCCACTCGGCCTTTCCTGCTTCGTTTGCTGTGTCTGCGCGGGGTGAACTGTGGGTTGTGTGGTCCGTGTTTCCCGTGCTCGTGTGGCTTCAAGAGCGGTGACAGCGACAGAGGTGGCGTTGTAGGTTGACGCAAGGCTCCTACCAATAGCAGGCGCAGCAGCAGGAGCAGCTGCAGGAGTCGAAACGACAGCAGAGCGTGAGACAGGAGCTTCCGTTCTTACGTGTTGGTGTTGTTGAAACGCAGCGCCGGTTTGGATCAACGCGGCAATGCCAGGGTCAAGCCGAGGCATGGGGGCATGTATCCCACCTGCTGCTGATTCTGCTGCCAATTCCGCTGCCATCGTTGAAAACGCTTCCACTGGTGAGTACCCCAGGTCAACAACAAGCGCGCGCTCATTCATAGTCATCAAGCCAGCGACTCCTGGCGCGTATACCCCGTTCTCAGTCACAAGAGGGTCCTTCTGAGGCGTCTCAAAACTCAAGCTAGTGACGCCTGGCGCGCAGGCCCCATTCTCAGTCACAAGAGGTTCACTTGGACCCCTTGGCGCCATGCTGCCGTCTGCGCACCCCGCAGCACTCTGTGGTAGTTGGAAAACGCAGGGAGCAGAAGGCGGGGCTGGGATGATGACGTCTGTCAACGGCTCCTCTAGAAGGAGAGCAGGGGTTATCAGGGGGAGGTCGCTGGGGATGGTCCATGCAGTCAAGTCCGCGAGTTCTTCCCACCCAGGGGTAGTAGCGATGGTGGTGGTGGTGGTGGTGGTAGCGGTTATATCGGAGATAGGAGCCTCGTTGAGAACGGCCTGGCGCAATCTGCGCTGGGAATGGCCCTCCTGTGCGGCGGCGGCGACTGCGGCGGCGGCCCAGGATGAAGAGGCATCAGGCAAGTCGTAGTAGAAAGGTAGAGAGGGCGTGAACGGAGCGTCCATGAGAGTAATGCTCTGAGGGGAAGCGGTACCACTGCTGGTAGTGGTGGTGGTGGTCGAAAGCGGTGATGCAGGGATGCAGATGAAGTGCCTTTGCTGGTGTCGCGAAAAGGGTATCACGGAGGCGTCAAGTCACCGGAACAAAGGAGGAGTGAGCGCGATAGTCGGTGCGAGCAAGACGCGAGGAAGAGGCGAGCAAAGAAGGTACTATCCTACTGAGTAGTGGCAATCGTTGATTGATGATCTCAGAATGAGCTCTCCGAAAACTCCCCTCCGCATGTGCACTAAATATACGGAGAACAGACGAGAACAGACGGCACGGAGCAGAGGAAATCTCGAGATCGACGCCATTAACCGGGGAAGTGCGGGGAGTGGGGGAGACGCGGTGACGGACGGAGCGACGGAGGGGAGAAAGATGGCCGTTCGACAACGGATGTGGGCTAGGGTGAATCCAGTAGAGATTCGCGGTTTCGATGGCGGTGGTTCGTAGCATGAGCAGAGAAGAAAGAGAGCATCGTCCGCCACTGATAGGTCTACGGAGTCGGGCCGACATAGTGCACGTATCATCATGACAAGGTATGGCTACGTCAAGTGCGAGACAGTCCGGCACGGGCAAGTTGGAAGTGAAGAGTGCTTGAAACTAGGACTGCATCAGGCGGAGGATCAAATACAGAATATAGTGGTAGAATGTATTGGATTTCCACACTAAGGTGTTTATTTCATGCAGATTTATGGTGACATGGTGGCGTCGTGCCACGGTGCTTCTTTAATCGCGTTGCGAGCTCAAAGGGGACACGCCTTGAAGGACCTGTCGCACACTACAGTACAAAACCCGCCGCGGGTATCGCATGCGTGGCGGTGCCGAGCTGACTGTACTAGGGAGCCTCTAATACCCCTTCTCTTAATTACCACGACTTTGTATCAAACTTCATCCATAATAAGGAAAGAGTTGCTACACACTTATCAAGTTGGGAGAACATACGCGCAGTCACAATTATGGCCGTATTATCACGTTTGGATCCGGGGTCATCACGGACAGTCACAGTACAGTACTTCGCTATCACGCGTGATCACAGTACTATCACGCTTGGTCACACCTCGCCCCGCAGGGTTATAACGTTTGGTCACTTGTTGAAACGCCCGCCAAAAAGTCGACACTCCCAAATCTACTGTAAAGATTCGGGTACAATATCTTGCGCGAGTTTTGTCTGTAGTGAAAAACGTGATGTGACAGCCGAAATATACTCGGACCTTGTAAGGGACCGACGCAGTTTAATCCAGAGTTGAAAATTTGAAGCGAATAAACGCCATCAATAACAGCTGCGAATCTATAATTTGTTTAGGGTGTGCATTTCATCCATACACCAAAGACATGGGTTTAGGTCGAATGATTTAAACAGTGAAAACAATATAATTATGTTTAGCACAGTGAGAACAGCTTTAGCTGGTGGAAAAACAATACAATTTCATCAGTTTAGATGGAAAACCATTGAACATTACAGGTGGGGAAATGCATATACGACACGTGATTTCGTTGGTTGATATATATATTTTTATTGTTTAAAATTAATCAAACACATTTTGATGCATATTTGTAGTGTGATGGCATCTTCTAATATAAACATACGGCGATTTAAACAATTGATAAGTGTAACTTGTAGTTTGATACTGTTCAACACATTGTGTTCTGCTAGTTCGACATACGGTATGTCTGTTTTCTCGAATAGTATTATTATTGAAGTTCACTTCATTCACTAAATTTTTAACAAGCTAAAAACAATTTCAGTGTCAGGCGCACAATCGATTGATAAGATATGATGTTTCTTAGAATTTATGTTTATATTTTGTACTTTCTCAACAATTTAGTACAGTTTATTGCTGGCGTTTATTCACTGCAAAATGCAAACTCTGGTTTAAACTGCATCGGTCCCTAACAAGGTCCGAATCTTTACAGTAGATTTTGAAGTGTCGACTTTTTGGCGGGCGTTTCAGCAAGTGACCAAGCGTGATAACCCTGCGGGGCGAAGTGTGACCACGCGTGATAGCGCTGTGATCACGCGTGAAAGCGAAGCACTGTACTGTGACTGTCCGTGATGACCCCAACTCCAAACGTTATAACACGGCCATAAATGCGACTGCACGTATAATTCCCCTATCAAGTTGACGAATATTTAGCCTCCATGCATGTTGCCCGATCATGTTATGCGATTTTCGCATCTCTCCAACTTCCGTTGGTTGACCCAACCGAGTGAGAGGGTCAGTCAGGACGTGGGCCCAATCGAACTTGATCGCCCCGATCACCCGCAATCTAGAACTTCCAGGAAGCCTGGAAGCCAATTTCAGGCAATCGGGGGCAATCAGCTGATCGCGATCAGCTGATCGCTCAAACTCAATCAGACCCAATTTTCAGCCCGATCAGAGCCGATTTTCCTCGATCACAGGCGATCACCTGATTGCTTGTGATCGGGGCTCCTAGCGACGCTTGCAACAAGTTACCCTGTAGCTCTTACAGGGAGACTAAGATTTTTGTCAGGTGACGTTTCGTCGCCAGTATCGCTCGTATGATGACGAAATTGCCAAGCAGATGTATCGCGCTTGCTGAGCAGGCGCTGACAAGCTTCTTTGAAAAACATGACTGATCGGGCGGCTCGGGCACTGCGATCACAAGCAACTCGATCAGATCCAACCCGATCAGATCATTCGCGATCAGACCCGATTCGGCCCACGGCCTCAGTCGTTGTCTACAGATCTGACCCGATCTCCCTGTCTTGCCATATTCTTCACGTTTGCTTGCACCTAAAGCTTTGGAACAGAGTCGTTATCATGTTCACGTGCATTCGAACGGACACCAGTCAACAATCAGGTGCTCGTTCCGCGGTATCGTTCTGCAGGCATAACGGAGGGAAGGGGAGATAGAATAGGAAGCTGCTTGCCTCTGCAATTTTAGGCTCGTAATGGCGGTAAGCCCGAAAAGGCTGACGTGGCAATTATTTTCCTCCCGAACCTAATCGAAGGGAAATGCCTGCAGAACAATCATTTCCCCCCAGGGAAATGCACCCTCAGGAAGGCTCTTCTTTTCCCTCACCACCTTCCTCCTCGGGCAAATTTATTTGCCTCCACTCCGCCATCGGCCACCCACCCTTCACGGGGAAGTGCGACGGTGACGGGAGGGAGGAGCTGAGCGTGGGAACACCAGCCTCCCACCCAAGTAACAAGGTTCCCTGTACAGCCACTAACCCAAACAGGGCTGCAAATCTCAAATTGTAAGGTAAAAACACAAACAACCACCAAAGTGAAAACCATGGCGGCCAGCTCACCACTTCTGTATGTTGGGGTTTTATAGTTGAAAACGCCCAGCCCCAACACAATACCCTCGTACTGCATTCGATGGTCACGACTACCCGTCCATTGGGCGCGAGAAATTCAGCGAGAAGTTCGACACTTTCCCTCGGAAGCTACCTCCCGAGAATCCGAAATTTACCATATCGGATGTTTGCCCAAGGGGGGGAATCGACCTCGGAACCCACCTCGGAACCCTCCTCATTTCCCTTCTCCCTCCCTCCTCCCCCAATCGTAAGGTGCCTACAGAACGATACCAGTGTGTGACGGATTTTTGTTTCTGGTGATTGTGTGGGCGACGGAAAATGGCGGTGGACATGTCACAGTCAGCAGCGCTGGGCCAAATGCATCAGGCAGGCACCACAAGGGAAAATGATGGTGATCGCGGTCTTGATTCGCACGTTTACTGTATTGAGGTGTGCATCGACAAATGTTCTCGTTTATACACCAAGTCCTCGCCAACTTCACTAGGGCCAATTTCAACCCCCTGTCTATTCATTTTAAATTCACCCCAATATAAGGGTTTTTTCAAACAAGTTGGTTTTAAGGAAACCAATGACCTGCACTGCGCACATGAATCAGCGGAAGAACAAAAGAAACTTGGTCGCAGCGGAAGATTGTCTTTGCGTTGCAATCTCAACGTCAGAAGGGGCAAACATCGAAACGTAACAATGCCTCGGATAGCCTCTAGTTCGTGGGTGTCTTACCCCCTATAGCCAAATAAGGTCAATTTGGCCTTAAGGAAGAACTGACGGGGCGTGAAATTGGCGAGGAATGTGTGTATTCCGAGGGAAAAACACGCCGCGTGTGTCAAATTTTCCAACACCCCGGGCAAACGAGACGATAACCCAGAACATCAGGAGAGATTGCACCAAAGGCGGTTAACAGTTTGATTGTTTATTTTGTTCTGGCTATCAATTTTACAATGGGATTGCGATTGACTTCTTATCCTGCGGTTTCGGCGCTGACTATTGTCGCATCGCAACTGGGCATAATAAATTAATGACCACATTGGTTGATGCCTTTATGTATCATATTTCTGGTTTTATTTATGTCGGTTAGCAAGCTTCATGAGATGGCATCGTCGAGCGCAGTGGGAACCGCGCGATGGGATGCAAAAGCTAACTCGGTCAATTTCGAGTGACAGTACATCTTTTTTTTTTTAATGTACAAATCCTCCATCTGAGTAGATTCCGAGTAAGTTGGTTTAGTTGAATTCGACTCCTCCGATTGCTTGGGGCAAAAATCCCCACAAAAAATGGGCCTAACGATGAAATGATACATCTAGGATTTCTATGAAAAAGCTTCCCGACGAGAAAACGGGACTCTCCTAGGAAGGGCCTCTAAGCCCAGACATCTGTAGTGTGATGCAGTCACATAGAAATGTCGTTACAACGAGCCCATGTGCTATCACGTGGAAACAGTGCTTCAATAGCGAAAGAAGTGACACACGGCTGCTGGCAACTGGTGTGCATGCTTTTTCACGCTCGATCGACAAGTTTGGCAACCACATAAAGGTTCATTCAACTGCCAGCGTCAGCTAGCAGTCGAATGAGTCAACATTCTGATTGCGAGCATGAAAAGAAACTAAAACCCACTGGAAAGGCATGCCATTCGGGAGGCATCAACCGTAAAATTTCACGGTTGATGCCCCTCGAATGACA